GAGCTCTTACAATTATAATATTTGTTTTACTTGATTTTAATTTTTAGCGCTAGTCAGAAACAGATAGATTCTCTTAGAATGTAAGAAGTTGTGTCATGGCTGTCCTGTCCTCTTTCTTCCTACTTTAGCTCTTGTTGTGTATGTATTGTTATTTAGAATACTACAGTATCTAAATGAAGCTTGAGCATATGTTCTTGTAGTATCGTCTCCTTTATTAATGAACAGCTAATTTGCATACAGCTGTTGCAATAAAGCCATCAGTTTAGGGAAGAGTTTAGTACAATTGTTCCTTTTTTCTGTATTTGTTTGGTCTTTGATACAAAGAGTCTTTCTGTTCTCATGCAGTCTCTGTGACACAAAGATTCACAAATAATTTCTCATTCCAAAGCGAACCGTATGAACATAATTTATGAAAAAATATATAAAAATCTACCACCTTTCTAATTAAATTGTTTTTCTTTCATTTCTCTGGTGAGATCTGCACTACTGTAAAAACTGGGGCACAAAAATTGAACCTTTTCTGTGAATCCCATGGATTTTTTTTCTTTTATAAGAATATTTATTATGTTTGAAAAGCATGGTGATTATAATCCAAAATCTTGTTTGCCAAAGCTGGAAAGAATCTCTCAGGAACATGAATATGTGTTTGTATCGATTGTGATGAACACCATTCAGTGTTTATTTGCCAATATTATGCCACTAAACATTTCCTTCTTTGGGAGAAACCAGAACTGCATAGAAAGAATCCCTGTGTTCAGAGGAAAGTTAGCAAAGGGAGTATGTGTGATAAAAAAAATTAAAGTAAGGCTGCACTTGCCGAAATGTTTTGGCCAAAGCTTTTACTCCTTGATGTCTGCACATATGTTTTTAAGTTGCAGACATTTGTGTGAAATCATAATTAAGCAGCTTTGACTCTCCAGGTCAAAATGACACTGGCTCCTAAAGCCAGTTAAAGAGTGAAGAGTCCTTTGGTACTTTAGAGTTTATAATTTTTGTCCCACTGGAAACAGATTAAAATTTTGCAGATGTGGAAAATCAAGATCTTTTAAAACAAATTCAAGCAGAAATTGGAGATGAGAGAATTGTTAAAATATAAATACAAACAGCAAGAAATCCCAGTTAGTGAAAATGAAGAGAACTTTCACACAACTTCAAATCAAATGAAATATATTATAGCATGTCTAGATTGTTGCTTAATGTAAACTTTCAGTCACTGGCATCCTAAGAGCATTTTCTGTTTTCAAATTATTTGCTGTCTTGTTTTATTCAACAGCCATCTAATAAAATTTGTATCTGGGCATGAGCTATAGTGATTTTTAAAATTTATTGCATTGTTCTGTCAGAAGTTTTGTGGGCTCTCTATTGTTCCATGTCACATGTCTATTTAAATAGATTCATTGTGTTATCCTACAACAGTTCAACTACAGATGCTGCGCATTCTAAGAGTTGGTTCTGCTCCTCTCTCCTCCCATCTCTCTGCTACCTAACAAGTTTCTTAGCATTAACTTGTAACCTTCGCTGGGAAGATGGACCCATGTTAGACTTCTGTCTTTGGTGTATCCAAAGAAAGGCACGCATTGGGAATCTTGAGATAAACTCTAATGTGCTACACCAAAATAAAGCTGTCACCTGGAAGTGAATAAACTACCAAAGAATGTCAAGCCTTGATGAATTTCATATAGAGATAATTACATAGTTAATATATTCTGAAATGTATCTTCTTCCAATCCTTAACTTGTTAAAACATGGGAAAGGGAACTATAATTAGGGATGAGATTTAGGGAGTTTTTGAACTACAGATACTATAATTCTCTATCCTGGAGTTCTACTTCCCTTGCAGGCACCTTTCAAATGCCTCAGTGAGATGCACACGGGCAAAAGCCCTAAATTAGAAGGCTTTGAAGCTCAGCTAGGCCAAGTTCCACCCAACCTTCATGCCCAGAAAGAAAGCTTGCAGCTAGTCCTGGGGGTAGAATAGGACATTCGGTAGAACTCGGCCTACCAAAGCCTCAGAGCTTTCTAATTTTGATCGTTTTCCTAGGTATATCACATTGAGCTGTTTGAAGGTTGAGCTTGCAAGGTAGGTAGAACTTCCAGAATGGAGAATTATGGTATTTTTAGTCCAGAAATTCAAAAAATCCCACTCTTATAACCAAACAGGCTTGAAGAGCTTGACCACAGAATGTGTGGCACAATCTAATGTTAGCACATACCCAAATTGTGTGCAATACAGAAAGTTGACTTCATATATGCAGCATTTAAGGTATGTCATCACTGAAAAGACTATATGTTAAGATGAGAGGACTACTGTCCATAGACTTTTAATATTTGTAAACTGACTCACACTTTACGATGATGCAGGAATCCAAGTGCTTATATATGTGTGAAGTAGGCTTTCATTGTGGTATCGTCTTCCTAATAAGAGGTGTTTTCTGAAAGGCTAGGATAGTGGTTCCCAAACGTGGATCCCCAGATGGACTAAAACTCCCAGAAGCCTTTACCACTAGCTGTGCTAGACAGAATTTCTGGGAGTTGTAGTCCAAGAACATGTGGGACCCAAGGCTGAGAAGCCCTGGGCTAGGGGATTAACCCGTGCATTTCTGAATGTCTGAGGTATGTAGCCGTGCTATCTTAAGTTTAGTACCTGAAAGTATTTTACCCTTCCCTTATACAAGACAATGGACTGAAGAGAATGCCCCCCCTTTTTAAAGGAACATGATGTCAGTATAAAAGAAAGATTTGTACCATGGGACGGAATATTTTTCAAGAAAATGCCTGTCTTTTCTGAACCTTCCTTAGTAATTCTGTGTGCAAGCTTATTTTATGTGGATACCGGTTTTCACCAAGAATTGAAAATAATATGTAGGAGTTGCTGGTTTTGTTTTTCATAAAGAATACAACTACTGTACATGTATTCTTTCAGGAAGGGCTAGAAAGAAATCTTGTATGATTTCATTGTACCATGGGATTTGGAAGGAGGTTTCCTTAATTAAAATACCTTAAATGTTATATTGATAGGTTTTGTGACTACACTTTTTATGGATATCCTTTGACATTTCGGCGCCAGGTCAAAACCTTCCTGTTCCAGAAGGCTTTTAATTGAAATAATATTAGCTGTGGGTCTGATGGCAATTTTAATTGTATTTTAATTGTATTTTAATTATTTTATCTTTTACTGTATTGAATTTTAATTATTGTAAGCCGCCCAGAGACCTCTGGGTAGTGTGGGCCATTTTTTATGGCTATCCTTTGAAATACTGTACAGAAAGGAAGAGCATCTATTGTTTTAAAAATGGGAAGTAGGTGTACATATGGAATAAATATTTGAAAAATCTGAACTTTATTCCACATTCCTCCATTGTCTTTATTGTGAGTGATGGGGATTCTTATTTCAGGGCAACGGAATCTTCAGCCAATTCTTCCTTTTTTTTCCTGGCTGTGAATAAGCTAGCTAAGCAGTCTTTCTTGATTACTAAATAACAGAACTTGTTTTATGAACAGAGGAAACAAGGAAAGAGATGATCAGGTGATATGTTGAAATAACCCAAAACTAACATATAAATTTTGATAATTGGGCTCCCCTTCCCACTCCATTTGCACCATCCCTATTGATCAGAACCTAAAGGCCTGATTCTGAAAATGCATAATCTGTGTGTATTATTATAATTGCTTTCAACTGAGATTGGAATGTTTGGAATAAGAATTTTGATCAATTTTCTGATGCTTGAAATCATGATAAATCAATAATAATAGCTGTATACTGCAAATTTCGGTCATATAGATCCCTCTCTTTCATATTAATAGTTCTCTAACTTTGTCCTTTGTGGTGAGGGCTTGCAAACTTTAATTCTTGTATATAAGTCTCTATTTCTGTTAGACACATATTTTTTTCTGGATTTTTTAGAAGGAAAATATCCCTTATGCAATTTATTTCCAAGTATTGTCCTGCAAATTGAACTATTTCTTTGATTCATTTGTTAAACACCTGAGTAAGAGCTGTTACAGTCTTGCTAAGCATCCACACATTTATGGACATGTTGGACACATTCTTGTGAGTGGTTTTGACAGCAGTAGTATACTTCCAGGATCAAAGAAATGAATCCAGACTAGGTGTGTCTGTTACTTTTATGTTCTGTGTATGACCTTTGAGGTTGAGCATTAGGGTGTTCTGTTTGGAAAACAAAAGGTAGGGACCTAAATGGACCATGGCCTTATCTAGCAGAGCAGTTCTTATAGTAGCTTCTGGCCCACTGAGATCAGCAAAAGAGAATTGCTAGTCAATCTTTGTTCCTTTTGATTTTTGTACAATAAGACATTTTGCATGTAAAGACACAATTATAGAGCAGTATTTAATGTCTCACTGTTTGTAAACACATCTAAATTCATTTCTGCTTTCAGTGGAACATGTTTAGAGGCAACATAACAGTGCATGTCTATTGGATTAATGTTAATTAGCTTGGAGTATAATCAACATCCTTTTTACCTCTTTAAAATCCTAGAATAACTCCAGGTCTCAGTACAACTAGGAGGACTATGTTATAATTTAAAATCTGCCCCTTCATGTTGTCAGCTCTTTGTCCTAAATCCAAAAGGATTTTAATTAACACGGCAAATTCTATACTAATTGTCGCCTTGCTTGGTATAATTGTATACTCTTGAATAATCAATACTGAAAGGTCATCTTGCTCAACTAAAAGCACAATCCAATTCATCACTAAGTTGCACCCATTAGAACATTCATTGTAATGTTTGTCCCAATTGCTTTGATGGGCTTAAGGAATGAATCTCCCAGCCGGGTTAGGTACTGATTTTGTCTTTTAAATATTACATTAACTTTTTTGTGTATAGTTTACAAATATATTCCATCTTGGAAAACTATGAGTTTTTTTATCTACAAGTTGTAAGCCTGAAGTCTGCGTGTAAATTACAAATAAGCTGGCAAACTCTAGAATTTGTGCATCCTTCTGTTTTCTTATCCATTATTTTTGTCACTTTTCTAGGTCAATGTTCGGGTTATGACTATGGATGCAGAGCTGGAGTTTGCCATCCAGCCTAACACTACTGGCAAACAACTATTTGACCAGGTTAGTATGAATACGCATGGTGTTTTCTTTAAACATTTCTGCAGAGGAACTGCATGAATACTTGAAGATCTGCCTCCATCAAGAGCCAAAATCCTTTTGGTTTTTACTGCATGCAAAGAGAAATTGTGGAAAGAGTCGCTAATGATGCTGGGGCTGTTGCTTCTTGATAATGTGCCTCGCTATGACTGGCACCTTGTCCATTAGTTGTGATCTCTTCTGTCATCTTCCAGGGTGACTGTCCATAAGGTGTAGTAGAGTAGTAATGCGTATTTGATGAATGTGCTAGAATTCCAAAATAAGTTATTTGTTGTACTTTGAAATAATTGAATCCTTCCTTTTAAAAATAAGTAGAAAAGACTATTAGAATGATTTTATTTATTAAAAAATAAGTAAGAGAAAATAATACCAAGGTGGCTGTGTTTAGACATCTGCTGATTTTCTTAATACCCCCTCTATCATCTTGTAACATAATAGTGTTAATAAAGGTTGCTAGATTAATTAGCTACTAATCCATTATTTTTAGGGGCCAAAAGTACAGATTCTGTTACATTGAATCAACATGAGTAATTGTAGAAGGAAGTATTAATCATACTAAAACTACTTAGCACCTGTCACTGCTGAGGGATTAACAAGTGGTGAGAAGAAAATACAGTGTTGTAATGAGGAAATGGGTAATGACTGAATGGTATCTATCCCAAAGAATACGGGGGAGCTTAATGTGTTTGATCTATGTGCTTGGGAAATGGACTCCCATTTTGTTGTGTTTCTGCTGAGCAAGGACATCACAAACTTTGTAAACAGCAGTTCTACTTGATAGTTGGAGATTTCAGAGATTAATCTGTTCTATGTAGCAATATTAGACAAAGACAAGACACAAAAAATATGGGAAGGATTAAGAGAGTGCATAAATGTTCCAGAGCATTAAGTGGGTAAGGGGTAATAGGTAATAAATGCAAGTTATTGTTGTTTTGACTTATATACTGCCCATAGTGCTTGGAGCACTCTCTGGATGGTTAAAACATAATTATGCAAGGAACACTTTGTCCTCCACTGTCAGGTGGATACACAGTTGGCTACAGAGTTGTACTCAGAGGGTGATGATTAATGGCTCCTTCTCGAACTGGGAGGAGGTAACAAGTGGGGTACCATAGGGCTCAATCCTTAGCCCTGTGCTCTTCAACATTTTTATTAATGACTTGGATCAGGGGATACATGGAATGTTAATCAAATTGTGGATGACACAAAATTGTGTGGAATAGCTAACATACTGGAAGACAGAAACACAATTCAAAATTATCTAGATAAGCTTGAGCACTGGGCTGAAAACAACAAAATGAAATGTAACAGACTTAAGCACAAAGTACTGCATCTTGGAAAAAGAAACCAAAAACACAGTTATAGAATAAGAGATTCCTGGCTCAGCAATGCTACGAGTGAAAAGGATCTTGGAGCCATTGTAGACCACAAGCTGAATATGAGTCAACAATGTGATATGGCTACAAAAAAGTCAAATGCTATTTTAGGTTTCATTAACAGAAATATAGTTTCCATATCCCATGAGGTACTAGTTCGTCTCAATTCAGCAGTGGTTAAGCCTAATTTTGAGTACTGTGTCTAGTTCTGGACACCGCATTTCAAGAAGGATGCCAGCAAATTGGAACAAGTTCAGAGGAGGGGGATGAGGAGTAGGCTGGAAACCAAGCTCTGAGGAAAGACTGAAAGAATTGGGCATGTTTAGTCTTGAGAAATGAAGACTGAGGAGAGATAGCATAGCACTTTTCAACTACAGTACTTGAAAGGCTTTTCATACAGAGGAAGGACAGAATCTATTCTCGGTCATCCCAGAATGCAAGACACACAATGGGCTCTAGTTACAGGAAGGTATATTTAGACTGAATATCAGGAAAAACGTCCTAACTGTTAGAGCAGTATGGCAATGAAACCATTAACCTTGAAAGGTGATGAGTGCTCCAGCCCTGGGGGCATTCAAGAGAAATGTGGACGACAACCTGATTTGTACTCCTGCACTGAGGAGGGGGTTGGACTCAATGGCTTTATAGGCCCCTTCCAACTTCATGATTCTATGATTCTATTCTAACTTGGTGTGGAACAAATAATGTCTACGAAGATTTCTAAATTCATGGGAAGTCGCTTCCAAAAGTCACACCATTTGCATAATCATGCAACAGGATTTGAGTCACTGTTTCCTACTTAGGGACAGCAGGGAGAGGAGATGAAGAATGAGGCAGGAGTGTGCAAGCTTGTTGATGACTTACTCTGTTTTCTCAAAAGGCACAAAACTGTCCAAAGCCAGGGTTAAGAGAGAGTAAAATGCCAGAGAGTCCGCCCTCCACCCAGACTGCAGCATCGAAAAGCAGAGGAGCAGGTCCCCTGAAAGAAGGGCTTGCAAAGCAGTCGTTCCTGATCTGCCATACAAGCTAGCCAAGCTGAAAAGCTGCAGAGAAAGGATGTGATGAAATCCAACACCTTCCAAGGCTACACCTAGCATCGAAAAGGAGCAGGTCCCCTGAAAGAAGGGCTTGCAAAGCAGTCGTTCCTGATCTGCCATACAAGCTAGCCAAGCTGAAAAGCTGCAGAGAAAGGATGTGATGAAATCCAACACCACACCTTCCTACACCTACATCTGGGGGGGGGGATCTTCCCTCCAAATATTAGACTTTGAGCACAAAACATCCACCAAGTCATTTCCTCATAGGGCTTAGTTTCCAGCCCCTTAATCATCCTTGTTGCCCTTCTCTGAACTTGTTCCAATTTATCAGCATCCTCAAGTACTCAAGATCAGGCCTAACCAGTGCTGAATTGAGGGGAACTAGTTCCTCATGGGATTTGGAGGCTATACTGCTGTTAATGCAGCCTAAAATAGCATTTGCCTTTTTTGTAGCTGAATATGAGCCGACATATGTGGGCTCATATTCAGCTTGTGATCTTGAATGATTTCTCTGTTACTCCTGAATGATGGGATTAAGAGGTCTTTCCCTTTAGGATTCTTACATCAGAGGTAAATCAAGAAATGAATTGGTGGATGACTGAAAGAACTGGGCACGTTTAGCCTTGAGAAATGAAGACTGAGGTGTGATATGATAGCACTTTTCAAATACTTGAAAGGCTGTCATACAGAGGGGCAGGATCTGTTCTCAATAATCCCAGAGTGCAGGACACACAACAGTAGGCTGAAGTTACAGGAAGACAGATTTCAGTTGAATATATATTTAAAAACATCCTAACTGTTAGAGCAATACGGCAATGGAACCAATTACCTTGAGAGGTATTCAAGAGAAGTTTAGACAACCACCTGGCAGATACCCTTTGATATGTATTCCTTCATTGAGCAGGGAGTTGGACTCAATAGCCTTGTAGGCCCCTTCCAACTTCATGGTTCTATGATTTTACCAAACTTGGAAGTCAGCCTTGAGTTAACCTTGAGCTGGCTACCTTCACCCATCGGGACTGAACTCAGGTTGTGAGCAGAGGCTTGACTGCAGTACTGTAATCTCTGCCCTGCAGGGCTAGTTGTTTTATCTTGGTGCAGCAATTGCATGCAAGTGTGAGTAAGCTACCTGCTGTCCTTTTTCATTCATTTTGATGGAGCACCCTAGCTGAAAAGCTATGATTCCATTACTATGGACTATCAGGTTAGCTAGTGTAATAAACTATGTTGTATAATAGTAGCACTGTCTCATTTTAACTATGAAGAATTAAGAGAAGTTGTATTTATTACATGTTACAAAATTACTTCCTTCTGATAACTTAAGGAGGCCTTCTATTTTTGAGAGGGAGGATATGCAAAGAAAGAGGACAATCATGGAAGAGCAGTATACAGTACTTTTAAAGTTATTTTCAAAGGTATTGCAGGAGAAAAAAGGGGGGGTTAGTTATTAATATACTGTATAACCGTCAGCAGTCAGATTTCTGCCCAGCGACATAAGTCTTTATTTTAAAAGCAAGTTTTACTTAAGAACAGAATTTTTAGCGCAGTATTTTTGTTTTCTTTTTTAGTCAAGAAAATGTTGACAAGCAGGCTAGTCAAAGTATGTTGCAGAGTGCAGGTTTGCTACTTTTAGGAAGAGGGGGGAAAGAC